TAAACCAATATTTGTAGGACAAGAGGAAATAGGATTGGAAAGCATCCTAGGGGGCTATTCTCACTTCCTTTTTTTTAGCTGGGGTCAGGTTTGAACCAGCCACCCCAGCCCCCGGTATATGGGGCCGGTGCCCTACTCCTTGATCCACAGGCACCACCCAGGTATTCTCACTTTCAAAGTCCTTCTCTCTTGAGACAAGCCTCTTCCAGAAACCTTCACCTGCTAACCCTCTTTGACATGTATTGCTGCCCATTCCAATGGTCCATCACTTTTTCTTTTATGCACCCATGGCTTCCTTTGAGAATGAGCTTAAGGCAAAGGACCCTTTTTCTAGACTAGTGTACAGGAAGGACATAATGTGTTGCTCTGAGCTCTCTTCTCTCACTTGACTCATGGGAAAATCTAAAAGGCATCGATTGTGGCAGAGTTGAGTGGGGAGGGAAGTCGGATGTTGCCTGTCTGATTTGTGTTTGGGGAGTTTGATGAGGGCAGCATAGCCTGGCCAAAGGTCACTTAGCTAGGGCTAATTTCCGACATCTGCAGCCTGCCAGACACCAAGGAGCTGTGATTGTGGTAGCTTCTTGATGTGACCCTGAACTTAGAGCCCTGTGCTTAGGGGAAATAACTAAGGAGCTTGCAAGCTCCAGGCGATTGCTGGAAGGTGGGAGTGCTGTTGGGGGAGCTGCAGCCACACACTGGCTGCTGCTGCCGCCAGCCATCTGGCCTGAACCTGGGAAGAGGCTACTGAGAGGTCTTCATGAAGGGCTCCTCGCACCAGGCTAATTCCATGTTCTAAATCCTTTGGTGGCTCCTCATTGCCCTCAGGGCAGGACAGTTACTTTAGTTAAGCATATAAGCTGGGACCCTGCCTGCTTTGTCCAGCCACACCCTGCCTGGCTGGCTGTACCAGCCATTTCAGATTCCCCAGGTGGGACACGGGTGTGGTTTTGCAGGTGCTCTTTCACCGGGTGAGCATTCTTACCTCTTCGACAGGTAAATTCCTAGATGTCCTTTCACAACTTGGCTCATTTCTCCTCTTTGAAGCCTCCACAGACCTGCTACCCTTTTAGTGTCGGGTTATGGGGCATGCCTTCCCTCCAGAGGCTCCAAGCCTTCTGTATACACCACCGCAGTTCTTTCCTTCTTTTCTTTCCTATCTCTCCCTCCTTCCCTCCCTTTGCTCCTTCAGTAGTTAGTTATTGGGCCACTGACCCTGTTCCAGTCACCCTGGGGTGCTAAGGGCAGTGATGAGCAAAAACAGTCCCAGACTTGCCCTCAGGGAGTTCGGACTCCCACAGTGGCCATAATATAGATAATGAAGATGTCAGGTTTTCTCCTCAAACAAGTTAAACTAGGTTAGATTAACAATACATGTATGTGGTATATATGTACCGTGGAATACTACTCAGCCATAAAAAGATGACTTAATATCTTTTGCAAAAATCTGGCCATTGTCTTAAGTGAAGTATCGCAAGAATAAAAATAGAAATATCACTTGTACTCACTATTCAACTGGAACTAATGGATGAGCACACAAGTGCACAGAGGGAAGTAAACTCAGTGGAAAGCAGCTGGGGGCAGCGGGCAGGAGGGGAGAGGAAATAAACCAGCCCAATGCATGCTGTGGACACCATTTGGGTAACAGGCTCACCGATAGCCAGGGCATAAGCATTGCAAAAATGATCCAAAACATTTGTACCCCCAGAATACACTGAAATTGAAGCAAAAGAGAAGTTAAGCTAAGGATAAATGATCTCTAACACTTACCAAAAAGGACTGGAAAAAAAGGAAACAATGAAAGTCTTATAATTGAGATCTGTTGCTGGTTAAATAAAGCCCTAGGGTCAGGGGATTTTTTCAAACTCAGTTTCTTTGTATGTAAACATAAAGAAGAAGAAATAATTTACTCAGGTTTTGAGTATCTTCCGTGAGCAAAGCTTTAAGGCTGCAAAGATAGCAGAGTCTTAGCTTCTGGGCTTCCAGAGGGGCAGGCCAAAGGAGAAGGAGTCAGTGTGAAATCTGAGGCTTCTCTTTGAGAAGACAGGCCGCCCTCCCTGCAGAGAAGGAGATGGGCTCTTGTGGCATCTGAAGCTCTCCCTTGAGTGTTCATCACAGTTCGGAATCTGGAGCTGTCTTATTATTTGGTTGCATCTCTCTCCCTTACTGGACTATGGACTCCACAGCATGGGTGTTGTATCTATTTTTCTTCTTTCTTTTTCCTTTTTTTTTTTTTTTTTTGCAGTTTTTGACTGGGGCTGGGTTTGAACCCTTCACCTCCAGCATATGGGGCCGGTGCCCTACTCCTTTGAGCTACAGACACTGCCCTGTTGTATCTATTTTTTATGGTAGCATTACTAAGATAACAGTGATTCACCATAAAATTTCACCCTTTTAAAAGTGTACAGTTCACTGGCCAGGCTAGGATCACTCCTGTAATCCTAGCACTCTGGGAGGCCCAGGTGGGTGGGCTTGCCTGAGCCAGAGGGAGAACTTGTCTAAAAATAGCTGGGTGTGGTGGCGGGTGCCTGTAGTCCTAGCTACTTAGGAGGCTGAGGCAAGAGAATCGCTTAAGCCCAAGAGTTTGAGGTTGCTGTGAGCAGTGATGCCACAGCGCTCTATCAAGGGTGACAAAGTGAGACTCTGTCTCCAAAAGAAAAGTGTACAATTCACGTGTTCTTAGGTATATTCACAGTTCTACAATCATCACCATTATCTAATCTCAGAACAGCCTCATAACACCAAAAAGAAACCTCTTACCTGTCCCCTTTAACTCCTGTCCCTGGCTGCTGCTGATCTACTTCCTGCTTGCATTGATTTGCCTGTCCTGGACATTTCAGATCTATGGACTTATACAATACATGGTCTTTCAAGACTGGCTTTTTTTGCTTAGTATGTTTTCAGGGTTCATACATGTTGTACCATGTGCCATTGAATGGATAATAAATGTTTGGCCAGGCATCAGCTGATGGACATTCGGGTTATTTCTCTTTGGGGGCTCTTATAAATAAAGCTACTATGAATATTTGTGTCCAGGTTTTTGAAGAGCCCTGTGTTTTCATTTCTCTTAAGTGTATGCATATACCGAGGATTAGCATTACAGAATCATTCGGTAACACTGTTGAGATTTTGACGAGCTGCCATACTATTTCCCGCAGTTTGTACTCCTACTTTCCCACCGGCAGTATATGAGTGTTCTAGTTTACCCACATCTTTACCAACACTTGTTTATTTTCAGTTTTATGTTGATTTTGTTTTCACTTTTTTTTTTTTTGAGACAGAGTCTGACTGTAATCCTGGGTAGAGGAATGTGGTGTTGTCATACCTCATAGCAACCTTAAACTCTTGGGCTTAAGCGATCCTCTTGCTTCAGCCTCCCGAGTAACTGGGACTCCAGGTGCCTGACCCCACACCCAGCTAATTTTTCCTTTTTTAGTAGAGTCAGAGTCTTGCTTTTGCTCAGGCTGGGCTCAAACTCCTGAGGGCAAGGAATCCTCTTGCCTTTGTCTCCCAGAGTACTAGGATTACAGGCGTGAGCCACCATACTCTGCCTTTATGTTGATTATTTTTTATAACAACCATACTAATGAATATGAAGTGGGATCTTACTGGGTTTTGATTTATGTTTTCCTAATGACTAGTAATGTTGAACATCTTTTCACGTGCTTTTTGGCCATCTTCATACCCTCTTTGGAGAAATACTTACTCAATTCAGTGCCCATTTTTAAATTGAGATAGAATCTCACTTTGTTGCCCTGGGTAGAGTACTGTGGCATCACAGCTCACAGCAACTTCAAACTCTTGGGCTTAAGCGATTCTCTTGCCTCAGCCTCCCAAGTACCTGTGACTCCAGAGGCCCTCCACAATGCCCGGCTATTTTTGTTGTTGTTGTAGTTGTCATTGTTGTTTGGCAGGCCCAGGCCAGTTTGAACCTGTCAGCCCCGGTGTATGTGGCCAATGCTCTAGCGGCTGAGCTATAGGCGCCAAGCCTTTTCTTTTTTGTTTTTAGTTTGGACACAGAGTCTCACTCTGTTGTCCTGGGTAGATAGCCATGGTGTCATAGCTCACAGTAACCTCCAACTGTTAGGCTTGAGTCTGACTCTTGCCTCAGCCTCTCAAGTAGCTGGGGCTCCACATGCCCACCATAATGCCTGGCTAGTTTTACTATTTTTAGTTGAGACAGGGTCTCGCTCTTGTTCAGGCTGGTCTCAGTCTTTTGAGCTCGAGCAGTCCACCTGCCTTGGCCTCCCAGAGTGCTAGGATTATAGGCATATACCACTGCCTGGCCAATTTTGCTTCTTTTTAGTTTCCCTATTTGACAACATGCTACTGAAACATTTCATAAATAAATAGTACCCATTAATACTTTGGTGAAATGGTAAATATGGTAGGTACTATATATAAGAAGATTTTTTTCTGTCACAAAAATCTTTGTTGATTTATTATTTTTTTTTTGTTGTTGGTTTTCCTCGTGTAAGACAAATACATTCAGGCAGTGGATACGTTGCAAAGTAAAACTGTCCTCCTGAGCTGTGGCCCTAAGAGGTCACTGCGTGCTGGGCATTTTGCATACATTTTTCTTTTAATCCTCAGCCACTGAGGAGGAAACAAAGGTGAAGGCAGGTGATCAGGGTCACTCAGCTTGGCTGAGTAGCTGAACCCAGGGTTTGAATGCTCTGACCTAGAGGCCTCCGTTCTTTTACAGCCTTATGTATCTCAAACAACAGATCTTTTTCCTGGGAACAGCTGGCTTCCTCTGTCATCCTGTAGGCCTCTGATAGTTTATGACCCTGCACTTAGTGAAAGTGGGTGGGAGACAGCTCAGGGGTTTCTGGAACAGAGGGGCTGCCATTCTAGGACTTATAGGAAAACAAACAAGCATCTGGAGGGCGTCATTGCTTTCCATCCAGCCAGCAGCCTGGCCCTAAGGTCTCTGTTTTCTGGGGCATCCCATGCTCTGGAGAGGCAGCCCTGACCCCCCTTCTGCCCTGCCTATCCTCCAGGAGCTGAAGCTGCCCACCTTCCGAGCCCACTCCCCACTCCTGAAGAGTCGCCGGTTCTTTGTCGACACCCTGACCCTGCTGAGCAGCCACTGCCAGCTCTGCCCTGCTGCCCGGCACCTGGCTGTCTACCTGCTGGACCACTTCATGGATCGCTACAACATTGCCACCTCCAAGCAGCTGTACACTGTGGCTGTCTCCTGCCTCCTGCTCGCAAGTAAGTGGAAGCCCATTCCCTCCTCTGTACCATGCTGCCTCTGCCTCTCAGCAAGCCTGGCTGCTCCCGTAGCTTTGACACTTCAGTGGTCTCTGAGTGTCTTTCGTGTACATCTTTCATGGCATGTGAACTGTGTTGACAATCATCACCATTTTTAGCATCTTTGATGTACGTGCATACCAGGCTAAGTGATAGGATTTTAACACTTTGATCTTAATTAATCCACACATGTCCCAAAGAGACAGATCTTAGTACTCCGTTCTACCAAGGCACAGAGAGGTTAAGAAACTTGCTTTGGGTTGCCCAGGCAGTATAGGGCAGACAGAATTTGAGCCCAGAACGGCATGTGCCAGAACCTGCACTCCTAATTAACCTCATGTCTCTTCCCGTCTTGTAGGGGGGGACTCTGAATGTGCTGGGTGGCAACCCCAGCAACTCTTGTTCTTAGAGGTGCTTAGAAATGTGACTACTTGGCTCAGTGCCTATAGCTCAGGTGGCTAAGGCGCCAGCCACATACATCAGAGCTGGCGGGTTCAAATCCAGCCCGGGCCTGCCAAACAACAATGACAACTACAACCAAAAAATAGCCGGGTGTCATGGCATGCACCTGTAGTCCCAGCTACTTGGGTGGCTGAAGCAAGAGAATCACTTAAGCCCAGGAGTAGAGTTTGCTGTCAGGAGTTGGAGGTTGCTATGAGCTGTGATGCCACAGCATTCTACCCAGGGTGACAGCTTGAGGTTCTGTCTCAAAAAAAATAAAATAAAATATATACATATATATACATATAAAAGAAATGTGACTGTTGATTTGGACCTATGCAAGACCAATTATGTGGTCACCAGGCCTGGGCTCAACCCCCTTGGGGTTTGCATCTTCCAAGCAGGTCTCCTGAAAGCACAGACTCTGTCAGCCTTGATAGGGAATACTGTTTTAACTTGCTGTTGCTGAGATAATCTTAAAATGCAGTTGTACGGTGCCACCCTGCCACTTAAGATTGCCTCATGATTTACCAACAGTCTGAGGATAAAGATCGAGTCTCTGCCCATTCTATTCAGAGGCCTCAGGCTCAAAGTGACTGGATGCAATTAGGATATTTGTTTGACATCTAGTATTTTATCTTTGAACTTCAATCAGATTCTGCTTTCTCCACAATGTGCTATTGTCTTATTTTATTAATTGACTAATTGATTGAGACTCTGTCTTACTCTGTCTCCCTGGGTAGAGTGCCGTGGAATCACAGCTCGCAGCTAACTCAGACTCTTGGGCTTGACTTATCCTGTTGTCTCCTGAGTAGCTGGGACTACAGGTGCCCACCACAACACCTGGCTAGTTTTTCTATTTTTAGTAGAGATGGAGTCTTGCCCTTGCTCAGGCTGGTCTCCAACTCCAGAGCTCAAACAATCTACCCACGTTGGCCACCATGCTCAGCCCTACTGTCCTACTCTATTACACATTTCCCTCACCCCATCCGTGAGCACCACGGATGTTACAGGAATATGGCTCCCATTTTCTCCTGTGGCTTTGTCTCCTCCTGGCATGCTGCCCCAAGGCCCTCAGACTCCATCACCCAGTTTGAGAAGCACAACTTCAGAGATTTCAAATTCTGTCTTGTTTTCCACCCTGGCACCTTCTGCCTGCTGCTGTTTATAATGCCATTGGCTGCTTTAGGTGTGCAGCCTCATAGCTGGTGATTTTTCTACCTTCGGTCAGCTGGAGTGGAGTTCCCATGTTATAGGTGGGAGCTAGTCTTTTTTTGTTGAGACAGAGTGTCCCTACATCACCCTCGGTAGAGTGCTGTGGCATCACAGCTCACACCAACCTCCAACTCTTGGACTTAAGCAATTCTCTTGCCTCAGCCTCCCAAGTAGCTGGAACTATAGGCACCCACCACAACGCCCGGCTATTTTTTGGTTGCAGTTGTCATTTGTTGTTTAGCTGGCTGGGCCAGGTTCAAACCCACCAGCCTGGGTGTATGTGGCTGGCACTGTAACCACTGTGCTACAAGTGCCGAGCCTGGAGAGCTAGTCTTTTGGGGAGTCTAGCTTATGAGCTATTTCATTGTCCCAGATTAACACACAAGTTCCCTTTTGCCCATCCGCAGAGGGCAGACTAAGCATGGCATTTCAGGTGCCTCAGAAGAAATCTGCACCCTATAGCCTCTGGCCTGCTGCTGTCTGTGATCCATGGGCTGTATTGAGGCCTCCTGGGGGCAGGGGACTTACATTTCCATGGGGCCGCAGAGGCCCTCCCCAAGCATCTGTCTGGGGAGCTGGGATATGAGGCACACACTGGAGATGCCTTTGTGCCACTGTCGCCTTGGCAGAGGGAGGGGACCTTTCAGACAGAGAGGCAGACGCCCCCACCCACATGTCTGAGGGCAGCAGCCAGCCTGGGGCGGCAGGATTTTTCAGGACACCTGCCATATGCTCTGGAGGCCAGAGGAAAGAAAAGTCTCCATGACAGCCTGAAATCCTATTCATTCTTCCCTCCCCTCTCCCCAGGCCACTGTCAACCACAAAGTGGGTCACCTTGCCTCAGGAAGCTTGGACTTCTGCTCATTTGGTACCAAATTATTCTCCAGTTCTTGCCCCCACCTGTCAGTTCTCAGGTTTTTAAAAGTCGTTCCAGATAAGGGCTTTTGTGTAGAAGAGACCTTTTCACCTACAGACTTCTGGCTCCATAAAACAAGGTCAGCAAAGGGCCCGTATCTGCAGGCCTATGGTAGAAAGCAGAATAAGGGAGATTTTTATTAACAGGTCATTGCATGGTGGGCATGTGGTGAAGCCACCCCCCTGTCTCTCTGTGACTAATTGTTTGTGTCTATTACCTTAACCCAAGATAGAATATAAATATAGTATGGGCCTAAATATATTACAAATATAGTTGAAACACCCCCTACTCCTTTGAGCCATAAGCACCGCCCTCAGCCCTTGTTTTGTAAGTTCAGAGAGGCCAAGGAACTTGTCCGTGATTACATGGCTTGGTATTTTGCCTTTTTTTTTTGACAGAGTCTCACTTTGTTGCTTCTGGTAGCAGGGGCAACAAAGTGCCCTGGCGTCACAGCTCATAGCAACCTCACACTCTCAGGCTCAAGCAGTCCTCTTGCCTCAACCTCCCAAATAGCTTGGACTACAGGCACCCACCACAGCAGCTGGCTAGGTGTTTTGCTTTTAAAAAAAAATTTTTTTTTTTGAGGTAAAACCAGATGTGGTAGCTCACAGTTAAAATCCTAGCATTCTTGGAGGCCAAGGCTGGAGGATCACTTGAGCTCAAGAGTTTGAGACTATCCTGGGGGAAAAATAAAACTCTGTCTCCACTATAAAGTGAATAAACTATGCAGACATTGTCATGGGCACCTGTAGTCTCAGGTACTTGAGAGGCTGAGGCAGGAAGATCTCTTGAACCCAGGAGTTTGAGGTTGCTGTGAGCTAGACTGATGCCATGGCACTCTAGCCTGGGCAACAGAGTGAGACTGTCTCAACAAACAACAAACAAACAAAAAAGCTCTTTAAAACATTGAGGTAAAATTCATATCATAAAATTACCCTTTTTGTTTGTTTGTTTTATTGAGACAGAGTTTTTTTTTCTTTGTTTTTTTTTTTGAGACAGAGCCTCAAGCTGTCCCCCTGGGTAGAGTGCCATGGCATCACAGCTCACAGGAACCTCCAACTCTTAGGCTCAAGCGAGTCTCCTGCCTCAGCCTCCCAAATAGCTGGGACCACAGGCACCTGCCACAATGCCCAGCTATTTTTTGGTTGCAGCCATCATTGTTGTTAGGTGGGCCCGGGCTGGATTCGAACCCACCACCTTAGGTGTACGTGGCTGGTACCTTAGCCACTTCAGCCACAGGCACCAAGCCGTTGAGACAGAGTCTTACTTACTCGGTCACCCTGGGTCGAGTGCCATGGCATCATCATGGCTCAGAGCAACCTCAAATTCTTGGGCTCAGGGATTCTCTTGCCTCAGCCTCCCAAGTAGCTGGCAGTACAGGCACCCACCACAATGCCTGGCTAGTTTTTCTCTTTTAGTAGAGATGGGGTCTTGCTCTTGCTCAGGTTGGTCTCAAACTTGTGAATTCATGGGATCTTCCCACCTCGGCCTCCCCACGTTTTGGGATTATAGGCATGAACCACCACCTGGCCAAAATTACCACTTTAACCATTTTAAAGTATATGATTCAATGGCAGTTAGTACATTCATACTGTTGTGTAAGTATGAATGTACTATCCTTCTATTTAGTTCTAGAACATTTTCATCAATATTCTATAAGGAATCTTTTTACCCATTAAAGTAGTCGCTTCCCACCTCCCAACCCTAGCCCTGGCAACTGCTCATCTGCTTTCTGCCTGTGTGGATTTGTGTGTTCTGGCTGTTTCTTCTAGACGCGATCATACACTATGTGTCCATCCGTGTCTAGCTTCTTTCACATAATATTTTCAGGGTTCACTCATGTGGTTGCATCTGTCAGTACTTCATTCATTTTTACAACTAAATACTCTTCCATTGTATATACCACAATTTGTTTATCCAGTCGTCTGTTGTTAGATGTTAGGGTCATTTTGACCTTTTGGGCATTCGCGAATAGTGCTGCAGTGAATATTCGGATGAAGTTTTGTTTGAACATGAGTTTTCACGTTTCTGGTCATAGGATAATTTTGTGTTGAATTTTTTGAGAAACCTTGAAGTTTCCCTTTTGTCTGGTGGTTGTTGCCCAAGGGTGACTGGGCCATTGAGTCCAGGACATGGACCACTCTGAGCAGGAAAGAAGTGGGAGGAGAGGAAGCCAGAAAGGCAAGAGGCCAAACCATGCTACCCTCTTTTGCTAGGCAGTAGCATGGCCTTCACTATAAGACCTTATTATTGGCTTGGCACCCATAGCACAGTGGTTATGGTGGCAGCCACATACACCTGGGGTGGCAGGTTCAAACCCGACCCAGGCCAACTAAACAACTGCAACAACAACAGAAGTAGCCAGACATTGTGGCGGGCGCCTGTAGTC